TGTGCCATCCCGGCCCGTCCCCACGGAGACGGCTGTGACGTCAGGAGGTGTGTGGGGGGGCGTGACATCAAAACGGGGAAGCGCCGAGCGCCGCCTCGGCCCGGCCCAGGGTGCCCCGGCCCCGCACCCGTCCTGTGAAATATAGTAACAGGATGGAATAAAATAGAAAAATAACATAGGATACAAAAATAAAAATATAAACATAAGGTATAAACATAAAACAAAACAAAATTAAATTAAATTAAATAAAACAAACCTGAGCCTGGCACACCCAGACTCAGGCCCAACTGGGTCTGAAGCGAGGGGGGATCCCCTCCTTGCTTGCCCTGCTGGCCACTGTCTTCCTAAAGCAGCCCAGGATGCTGCTGGTCCATGGCCACCCTGGTGTCCCCTGTGTCCTTCTCCGCAGAGCGGCTCCCCAGCCCATCCTGGTGGCTCTGCCCATCTCTCCAGGTTCTCCTGAAGAGGCCACCCATCCCTAATGAAGACGCTAAGGAGCACTGGACCCAGCATAGTCCTCAGGGACACACAGCTCACGGCTGGCCTCCCGCCGGACTTTGCGCCACCCTCTGGGCCTAGAGGATCAGCCAGGTTTCGATCTGCCTCAGTATCCGTTTGTTCAGGCCGTACTTCCTCATTTTGTCTCACGGGATGGTGCCAAAAGACTCACCAAAAAAATCAAGACCCGCAGAAACCACCGCTCCCCCCTCAGCCACCAAGCCCACCATCTCGTCACAGAAGCCACCATCTCATCGCAGAAGCCACCACCTCAGCCTAGAAGCCCACTGCCTCATCACAGGAGGCCACTAGGCTGTTCAGGCACAATTTTGGGTTGCTCAGGCTGTGCTCCAACCACTCGTCCTGGCTGATGCCTGTCCTGCTCTGCCTCCTCCTGCCCCATCAGGGTTCTCCCTTGCTGGCACTGCCACAGCCATGGTCTGGGAGCAGAGGCTCCCCTTGCTTTTCCCCCTTATTCGAGACGTGGTCCTCACCCATCCCTGCCACCTCAGCACACGGTTATCGTGGGAACACCGACTGGGCCAAACCCCCTTCACGTTCACCCACACCTCGTAGCGCTAAGGGACCAACGATGTCCCAGCCCCACCAGCCTGGGAAAAGGCCTTGTTCTCATTCCCGAAATAGCCCTGTCCTACTAAAATCCCTTTCCTTTCAGCTCAGCGCTCCTCCTGCAGCCCCATCCCCCCCACCACACACACAGGAAGGACACGGTGTCCCCTCCCTGTCCTTCAATGCTCCCGGGGGAACCAGGGAGCAGCTCCTGCTGCCACCATGCCCATTGCGCCAGGCACAAAGCACAAGGGCGCCATCAGAATCCCAACAACTTCCTTTATTTATAAAAACAAGCATTTATAAAGAGAGAGAGAGAGGAGAAAAGCCCTGGAGGTGCTTGCAGCACGCAGCAGAAGAGCGGCCTCCCGGTGCTGCCGAGGCTCAGGTGGCCGTCACGTAGAAAGGTCTGTTACGGGGCGCGAAGGGAGACCCAGGCTCTCAAGACACTGATCGGTGGCAAAGGTTCACGCAGCAGGGAGCAGGGAAAGGGCGACCTCCAGGTCTGGGGACGCTCGCGGACTGAGAAGGCCCGTGAAGAGCGGCCGTTACGTGCGGGCGTTGCGCTCTGTCTCGGCCAGGCACTCTCGCACCAGTGCCCGAGCGTGGATGATGCCTACGGGGAGAAGAGGGAGACGGCGCGTGAGCCGCGGCCCTGAGGAAGGGCCGGGTTCCCTCAAGTGGCGTCGGCTCTGAGAGTCTCCCTGCTAGGCATCCAAAGCCGTGGGGTGAGCAGAACTGGGTGATACCCCCTTACCCTCCATGCCCGTGCTGGGTGGCAGGGCTCCCGCTGCTGTCACTGCAGACAGAGACATGGGAGTGCAGTATCCTCCACTCGGGCTTCCAATAGGAGCCAAATATCTCCTCAGTCCCGCCTCCCCCAGGAGAGAACCACAAGAGTGCTGTTAAACTAGCCCTCGCTCCGACGCCGCGGGAGACACGCCAGCGGGACGGGGCCTGGCACGGTGACAGCGTGGCGGTGCATTTGTCCTCCGATGGACGGGCCGCCCGCGCAGGGGCTGGCTCGGGCGGCCCTCCCTGCCCCA